GGTGGCATGATCTTGGCTCACTGCAACCTCCGCTTCCTGGATTCAAGCAATTCTCCTGCCTCAGCCTCCCAAATAGTTGGGATTATTGGGGTGTACTGCCATGCCCAGCTAATTTTTGTATTTTTGGTAAAGACAGAGTTTTGCCATGTTGTCCAGACTGGTCTTGAACTCCTGTTCTCAGGTGATCCGCCCGCCTTGGCCTCCCAGAGTGCTGGGATTGCAGATGTGAGCCACTGTGCCCAGCCAGAAAGGGGAGAGTCTTAGATGAGACTAATCTTCCCGCTGGTATCAGAGGGTTTCCTTGTACTGGAAACACCTCCTTAAAACATGTCTCGTAGCCTCTCTTCCTCTCATCAGAAGATGGAGGCAGGCCACAGTCCGGAGAGCCACTGGGCTGCAGTGGAGTACAGGGCGATGTTTGCCCCCTGGCTAAAGACGAAGGAGAGCATATAGGTGGGTTATGGTCCCCATAGGTTGTGAAAACTGCCATATATTGGGCAAATATAATAGGAAGATGTTAGAGGCAAAATTTATGTTGATTAAACAGCCAAATAAGGCCTGGGACCACATGCACTTTCTTAGCGACAGGCGCTGTGTGGATGAAACCAGGCTACCTATCCTTCCATTCTTTCATAGATTTATTTGTTGTTCGCTTCTCCCTGTACCTCTTTTCACAAGAGGCAGTGGTAGGAAAAATAAGTGCTTTACTTAGATTTGTCCTTAAGATCCGAGGAACCATCTGCAGCAGAGTGCAGGAAGGAGGCCCTTAGCCAGAACCAAGACAACCTCCGTGTTAGACCTGGAAATAGGAAGAAGTAGCAGAAGACTCATCTAAAATGCAGAGTGAACACATACAATGAGAGGTGGAGGGAACAGACTGCTGAGACCTTCAAGATCTGCTTAAAATAGGCAGAGGTCATGTTGCAGTTGATTCTCCCAAAAGGAGGCAGCCAACACACAGATGTATTAAATGGGAGAAAGAGTACTTCAAAGGCTTTCCTTCCCCTATGGCTTGAAGCCTATACAGGGTGGCCTCGTCACTCCCAGGACCTGCCCTATCCCACAGTTCTGTCTGGAGGAGAGTGGGTTCACCAGGATGGCATTTCCCAAGGCTCATGGGTACTGCTGCCTTCCCCTGGCTTTCTTATTGTCACCATAGTGCTGCCTGGCTGTTCCCAAGGGGAAGGGAGGGTGAGGCTAGGAACAAAGCCAGGGCAAGGCAGGAGCAGGCCTTGCAATCTAGGACTAGAGGTCAGGTGAGGAAGACCTCTGGCACAGTCACAGCATGCCTTGGTGGGCACCTCCCTTCTGATGGGAATGCTTGGCTGTGATTCCTGATGGCCCTGTGGGCCACCTGACACTGGGCTCCTCCAGTTATGCTTCCATGAGGTGAATTCCTCCGTTAGTGGTGATCTGGCTTTTGTTTGGCCAGAAGTGACCAAGGGAGGCCTGACAGTCACATTTGTTCACTCATACATTCGAATATTCATGGAAGATTTAGTATGTCAATTACTAAGGAAACAAAGATGACAAATATAATAGTTCTCTTGTCTTTAAGAAATTCTTTGTTACAGTATCCATGCTCATGGGGGAAAATTACAAAAAATGTAAGAAATACAGTGGTGGACACAGACACCTGAGATGACAGGGCCTTGAAGATGGGACCCTAATTCATCTGGCAGTAGAGGGAAGGGCTGGTCTCTCCAGAAAGACATTATGGAGGAAGTGACATTTGAATTTATCTTCAAGTGGGTAAAAGTTCATGGAAAGGGCAAGACATGAGTAGCATCCATCTCCTGGTCTTCCTCAGAACAGCAGCACCTCCTTAGTGCTAGCTGGGCACATAGCGCCCCCTCTAGAGACTGCATTTCCCAGCCATCCTTGCAGCTGGGGTGTGGCCATGTGACCAAGTTTTGGCTAGTGGGATACAAGAAGAACCTCTGGATCACATCTGTATAATGAAGCTGCTTTTCCTTGCCTCTCTCTTTCCTGCTTCCCACTGGCTGGCAAAAGGGGACAATTGGGACAGCCACCTTAGACCCAGACACAGAAGTTGTCAGTTGAGACTAGAAGAGCCAATCTGTTTATCCCTGGATGAGCTCACAAAGCAGAATTAACTACCTCCCCTAGACAGGGCTCCCTCTGGGCTGTTAGGGGGGAGTAAAGTGAATGTTTATCTTGTTTTGGACTATGTTATCGGGATCTTTATCACAGCAGCTTAGTCTATGCCCCCATTCATCCAATATAGAAGGAGATAAGCCCTGACCTGGCGACCTGATCAGGAGACTGAGAGAGGAGAGAGACTTAGCCCGCTGACTTTGGTGCATACCCGACTAGATGCCATAGTCCCAAGGTGAAGACCACATACTCAGCTGACCCAGGGCCCATCTAACCAACAAACCTAGGTATTGCCAACCAAGCAGCAACATCCAGAGACTTTGCCTTTCTAATAGGGAACAGAAATGGTCTTTTGCTGTAAAAGATCTCTCTCAGTTCTACCCCAATCTTATCCCCAAGTCTAGACCTTGAACTAGGCATTTGGTTTCCTGCTTAGCAGTAACACTTTTGCTGTTAATGCTCAATATTTGCTAATAGTTATTATTTTTCTTTTATCAAAGTTATACACAGAGAAACTAGGAAGACCTTTAACCATCATTATAAATACAAGGCAGTGCAGAGAGAAAGTATCTATGAACATAAAGCAGAGGATGAAATAGGTGTTTGCAAATTTTAGTGGCATTAAAACCATCTGGGGAGTTCATTTAAAATTCATATTCCCAGGCTCTGCTTCAAGAAATTCTAACTCAGTAGGTCTTGAGTGGGATCAAGGAATCCACATGTTGAACACACACCACCGGGGACTCTAATGCAGGCATTTTGTGACCCTCACTTTGATAAATTATGGTTTTCATAGTCTTGCTTAAAGACTATGCTATTAAATGCAAACTAGATATAAGGAACAAGCACTGAATCACTCCTAATTGAGTGCTTAGGTCTCTGATCAATTTCTTGTGAGTCAATAGAATCTAAGGGTGTAAGTTAGGACAGGGAGGAGACTGAGAATTTGTAATGTTACATATCTACTCCATCATTATTAGAAAATGGGAATACAGATTCATTAGAGAAGGGTAAATTCATTTTTAGACTAATTGGGCTTGAAGAGTTGTTAGTGTATCCAAATGGAAATGCTGAAGTGATGGGAATGGAAAAATTTCACATTACACAATTCTCTACAAAGCTTTGATGCCCGATAGCAAAGATGGAAGTAAGCTCTCATACATGAATTAACTTCAGCAGGTTGTTAAACCGGTCCACTTCCTGTCCAAGAACAGTAGTCAAGGAGTTCAGGCGTCCTTGAGGATCCTTGACGAAAAGGCTCTCAGAAGCACCCTCCATTTCCAGTTTTTCTGAAACATACACAGTGATTCCTCAGGTCAGTTGTCATTGATTTGTTCTCACAATATTGCTAAGGCAATGTGCTTATAACATTTTTAAAAAGCCCGCTTCTCTCATTGTTTAAACCAGATACATAGGATTTAAATGTGATACTTTTCTAATTTATAATGCTTTTGTGATTCACCTGTGTTTATATAGAAGCAATCACAGAAAATTATGCTTAAATTCATGTGTATCAGGGCATATACATACATACATATATACACACACACACACACACTGTTTTTTCTCTCAAACATTAAGCCATTGCATTTTATTTCCTCCCTTAAAGCATGTTCCCCATGGGTATTTTCATCTTCCTAGTGTGAGCTATGTGGTCTATGGCCCTGGGGGCCCAGGGGATGTAGGTCCCCAATTGCTTAAATGAGATCATAGAGAGACTGGCTGGGCTAACGTAGGAGAAGGACTGGGGAAGGGAAGGAGAAACCTGCCCATTTTCATTCTGGTTGACTGTGGGGAGGAGGTGAGGGCTGAGAGGGAAGAGGATGAAATGGAAGGTCAGTATGGCTCAGTGGTATCTGCAAGTTTGATGAGGGGTTTGAAAGGTCTCCAATGTGGAATGAGGGGGGTTGGCAGGAGGGCACGGGAAGGTGTGCCTGGCTTTGCCTTATTGGGAGGCAGAACCCTGAAGCCTTCATTGGCAAATGCTAGCAGGACAAAGCTGTTGCCTGGCAGGCAAGGAACATTCCAGAAGCTAGGCTTGAAGAGTTGTTAGTGAATCCAAATGGAAATGTTGGATGGCCCAGTGACCCCGAGTCAGGTGTTTAAATCTCCTGCTTCCTTGCTCACCTGTACTGTAAAGGAAAGGCTGGGGGCAGGAGACAGAGAGGAGACAGACTTAGTGTTTATCCCACATTACTAGCCATTATTTAAAGGGACTGACTGCATTATTAAACAGGCCCATGGGTCAAACTGAATGGAAAATGTAGCTCTTCTTTCTCCCTGCAATCATCAAACACAGGCTCAGACGAAGAATCATATGAGCTATGAAAGAGGAAGGAACAGCATTTTCCTTGCATATCTGAGAAAAGTATGTGTAAACAAATGGCTATGACATACATATGTCAGATTTTTTCTTGACCACACATATTTGGCTGCTGGACAAAAATCCCGTAGCAATGCCAATGAGTCTAATCTCTTGGGTCCGCAGTGCTGTGGTTACACGTCCCTGGTCTTCTCGTTCCACCATTCTTCTAAGGGCTATTTCAAACCCTCAGTTCTTTTGTTGAGCTAATTGCTTCCCTGTGCCCTCAGTCTCAGCAGATGACCTGCTTAGCATTTCACAGTAAAAGTACAAGCTTTAGGACGCTTAGAGAGAAAAACCTCGTAGGTGTCAATGGGATTCTACAAAACAAGTGCACGGTCTCTCTAGCTATCCATTCATCTCTCCATCTTTTTCCCAACCAGCACTCCATCTTATACTTATTGATCTTATATTTATTGACTCTATTTGCTTCAACAACAGAATTCTCCACCCAAGTAGACATTCTCTTGAGGGCCTGCTTCTAGGAGGCAGATAACTGACTTCTGAAATCACAGGGCTCCTTTTCTTCCGGCAGGACGCAGTCACTATTTTTTTCTGCCTCAATTTTCTTTTTCCTGTAATGACACTCTTCCAAGCATGAATAAATAAGACATCTAAATCTCCTGTGGATCTAAGAAAAATCTTAAAATAGATCTCTTGTGATAATACAGGAAGATTCTTTCACTTATCAGAAAACAAGGTGAAACAAATTTAGCCATTTCTTCTAAATAGAGAAAAAAATTTAATGGATTCTACAGCAGGACTATCTTGTAGAACTTTTAATGATGATGGAAGTATTCTCTATCTGTACTGTCCAATATGATAGCACTTGAAATGTGACTGGTGCAAATGAGGAAATGAATTTTAAATTAAATTTAAATTTAGGTAGCCACATGTGGCTAGTGGCTATTTTCTTGCACAGCACAGGTCTAGAGACATTAGAATAATGAAACCAAGGGAAGCTCAGGAAAGTCTGGTTAAAGTTACGTGGAGCTGGAAACCAGTTTCCTCCTAATGCTTCTGGGAGTTGAGATGTTGAGCTGCTATATGCTTCTAGTCTATAAATGAAGAGCTCCATGTCAAAAGAGCTCTTTAGGTGAAAAAAAAAAAAGCCTACATAATAAACAGGTTTAGATACCTGTTTATCACTCAGTTTTCTGAGTTTATTCCTAAAATTTCCATTACATACAGATTCCTAAAATTATTTATTACCTGGAACTCTGGTCTGGACAGAAGCAACAAGTTCTTGAACAATTTCGTCATTGCTTTTTCCCTCTCCACCAGTAGATGACCTTGGCTGAACCTCAAGTATGGTGTTGATTAAAGTGCTGGTCTCTTTGTACTGTAATGGCAGTAAGAGAAAAGACTGAAATTCTCAAAAAAAAAAAAAAAATTGCAGCACATATAATTACTTACAGAAGTAAAGGCATTTCTCTAAAACAATAATATTTATTTTCACTTTATTTTATTGTGGTAAGAACAATTAACATGATATCTACCCTCTTAACAAATTTTAAGTGTGCAAGACATTATCGTTGACTATAGGTACAATGTTGCACAAAAGATCTCTAGTGCTGATTCATCTTGCTTGATTGCAAGTTTATACCTGTTGATTAGTCCCTCCCATTTCCTCGTCTCCCCAGTCCCTGGTAACTACCATTCCACTCTTTAATTCTATGAATTTCACTATTTTAGATAACTCCGTAAAAGCTAAATCATGCAGTATTTGTGTTTTTGTGACTGGCTTAAGGAAATTTTATTTTCTATCTTGAAGGTAGAGGTGGTAAAATGTGGTCATTGGAAATGCCTAGTACATAGTTGTTACTGACACTAAAATTTTTTTTTTGTTGAACAACAATGTGTTTAATGGGCTGGCCCCAGTGGCTTATGCCTGTAATCCCAACACTTTGGGTGGTCAAGGCAGGAGGATTGCTTTTAGCCCAAGGGGGATTGCTTTAGCCCAAGAGTTTGAGACCAGCGTGGGCAACACAGCAAGACTCTGTTCCTACACACACACACACAACAAAAATTAGCTGGGTGTGGTGGTGTGCACTTGTGGTGGGGTGCACCTGTGGTGGGAGGCTGAATGGGGGATAGCTTGAGCCCAGGAGCTAGAAATTGCGGTGAACTATGATCTCACCACTGCACTCTAGCCTGGGCAACAGAGGGAGATGCTATTTCAAAAGGAAAGAAAACAAAAATAATAAATGTACCTTATGCTGCTGAACTGTACACTTAAAAATGATTAAAATGTATATTTTCTCATATACATTTTACTATAATAAAGAATGGTTAAACATTTTTAAGCTAATTAGTTAAAAATTATGAAAGTGAGAGAAAAATAATGAGAACACAGTTTCAGGTCATTGATTTAACTTTTTTTTAAATAAGAAAAATATGGTCTATTATAGGAAATTGAGCTAATCAATTTATGTAATATTAATTCATTTTTAATATTATGAGTCTTCTCATAGCACAGAAAAATCCTCATGAACTATGCTTTAAGTGACTATGTGAATAATTTAAGTGACAATGTGATACTAATTATAGTATGAATGCACCATAACTAATATGAGTTATTTATCTATTTTTTGGAAATTTCTAGTTTTTAAAATTTTATTAGACTTATTATTTTTTTCTTTTTAAGATGGAGTCTTACTCTGTTGCCCAGGTTGGAGGGCAGTGGCATGATCTTGGCTCACTGCAACCTCTACCTCCCAGGCTCAAGCGATTCTTTTGCCTCAGCCTCCTGAGTAGCTGGGATTACAGGCACCTGCCACCATGCCTGGCTAATTTTTATATTTTTAGTAGAGACAGGGTTTCACCATGTTGGCCAGGCTGGTCTTGAACTCCTGGCCTCAAGTGACTCACCTGCTTTGGCCTCCCAAAGTGCTGGGATTACAAGCATCAGCCACTGTGCCCAGCTGATCTTATTAGACTTCGGGAATAGAATATGTATGTATGAATTTCATCCACCATTTTTGAAATTCTTTAAATGATACGTAAAGGCAATATTTTAAAACTGGGTATTACCATATTAATTTCTAAAAACATTGTATCAATTTATATTTCTAACAATAGTGTATCATAAAATCTGTCTTTCTGTGTCTTTGCAAGATTGATATTATTACTTAAACAAATATTTCCAATTTAATAGATAAAAAATAGTTTCTCATTTTTTGTACTTTTTTTTGTGATGGAGTCTCTCTCTGTCACCAAGGCTGGAGTGCAGTGGCACGATCTTGGCTCACTGCAACCTCCGTCTCCTGGGTTCAAGAGATTCTTCTGCCTCAGCCTCCTGAGTAACTCGGACTATAGGCATGCACCACTATGCCAGGCTAATTTTTGTATTTTTAGTAAAGATGGGGTTTCACCATATTGGCTAGGTTGGTCTTGACTCCTGACCTCATGATTCCCTGGCCTCAGCCTCCCAAAGTGCTTGGATTACAGGTGTGAGCCACTGCGTCCAGCCACATTTTTCGCCCAGTCACTGTGCCTGGCCACATATTTTTTTAAGATTTAAATTCTTAAAAATCAAATTCTTAAATTTAAATTCTTTAAGATCTTAAAAAATATATTCATTGACCATCTATCTTACTTGTTTATAAATTTTTCATGTTTTTGCAAATTTTTGATTTTTAGCATTTTATATTAATCTATAAGATGATTCTATAATATGAAAAGCTAATTTTTTCTGTTTCAAGATGTTTTGATTTGCCACTTGTAATTTTTTTTAAAAAAATTTTAGATTCAAAGGGTACATGTGAGGTTTGTTACATGGATGTATTGCATGGTGCTGAGGTTTGGGCTTCTATTGAACTTCCCCAAATAGTGAACACAGTACCTAACAGGTTGTTTTTCAACTCTTTTCTTCCTTCCTTTTTCCCCGCTTTTGGGGTCCCCAGTGCCTATTGTTCGCATCATTATGTCCATGTGTACCCAGCGTTTAGCGTCCACTCATAAGTGAGAACATGCAGTATTTGGTTTTCTGTTTCTGCATTAATTCACTTCAGATAATGGCCTCCAGCTGCATCAATTTGCTGCAAAGGACATGATTTTTTTGTGGCTGTGTAGTATTCCATGGTGCACATGTTCCACATTTTCTTTGTCCATTCCACTGTTGATGGACACCTATGTTAATCCTATGATCCTATGTCTCTGTGATTGTGAATAAAGCTGTGAACATATGAGTCCATGCGTTTTTTTGGTAGAATGGTTTATTTTCCTTTGGGTCTATACCCAGTATGGGATTGCTGGGTTGAATATTACTTCTATTTTCAGTTTTTTTGAGAAATCTCCAAACTGTTTTTCACAGGGGCTGAACTAATTTACAATCCCACCAACAGTGCATAAGCATTCTGCTTTCTCTGTAACCTTACCAACATGTTATTTTTTGACTTTTTAATAATTGCCAATCTGACTGGTGTGAGATGATATCTCATTGTGGTTTTGATTTGCATTTCTCTGATGATTAGTGATGCTGAGCATTTTTTCATGTTTGTTGGCTGCTTGTATGTCTTTTTTTTTTGTTTGAGAAGTGTCTGTTCATGTCCTTTGCCCCCTTTTAATGGGGTTGTTTTTGCTTGTTGGTTTCTTTAAGTTCCTTGTAGATTTTGGATATTAGTCTTTTTGTCAGATGCATAGTTTGCACATATATTTTCCCATTCTGTAGGTTGTCTGTTTACTCTGTTGATAGTTTCTTTTGCTGGGCAGAAGCTCTTTATTTTAATTAGGTCACAATTATCAATTTTTGTTTCTGTTGCAGTTGCTTTTGAGGTCTTAGCCATAATTTTTTTGCCTAGGCCAATGTCCTGGTATTCCTTAGGTTTTCTTCTAGGATTTTAATAGTTTGAGGTGTCACATTTAATTCTTTAATGCATCTTGAGTTAATTTTTGTATATGATGAGAGGTAGGAGTTGAGTTTTATTCTTCTGTATATGGTTGGCCAGTTTTCTTAGCACCACTTATTGAATAGAGTGTCCTTTCCCATTGTTTATTTTTGTCAACTTTGTTGAAGATCAATTGGTTGTAGGTCCGTAACTTTATTTCTGGGTTCTCTGTTCCATTGGTCTGAGTCTATTTTTTGTACCAGTACCATGCTGTTTTGGTTACTGTAGTGTTATATAATGCCTCTGGCTTTGTTCTTTTTCTTAGAATTACTTTGATAATTCAAGTTCTTTTTTGGTTTCCTGTGAATTTTAGAATGTTCTTTTCTAATTCTGTGAAAAATGATGTCGGTAGTTTGACAGGAATAGATTAAAATGTGTGATTGCTTTGGGCAGTATTTTTATGATATAGATTCTTCCAATCCATGAGCATGAAATGTTTTTACTTTTGTTTGTGTCATCCATGATTTCTTTCATCAGTGCTCTGTAATTCTTGTAGAGATGTTTCACCTCCTTAGTTAGATGTATTCTTAGGTATTTTATTTTTCTTAAGGCAATTGTGAATGGTATTGTGTTCTTGATTTGGTCCTCAGCTTAAACATTTTGATGTATAGAAATGCTACTGATTTTTGTACATTGATTTTGTATCCTATAACTTTACTGAAGTAGTTTATTAGGCCTGATAGTCTTTTGGCAGAATCTTCAGGATTTTCTGTGCACAGAACCATATTGTCAGTGAAGAGAGATAATTTGACTTCCTCTTTTCCTATCTGGATGCATTTTATTTCTTTCTCTTGCCTGATTACTCTGGCTAGGACTTCCAGTACTATTAACATGTTCAATAGGAGTGGTACGAGTGAACATCCTTGTCTTGTTCCAGTTCTCAGAGAAAATGTCTCCAATTTTTTCTGTGAAGTATGATATTGGCTACGGGCTTGTCATAGGTGGCTCTTATTACTTTGAACTATGTTTCTTTGATGCCTAGTTTGTTGAGGGCTTTTATCATTAAAGAATGTTGGATTTTATTGAATGCTTTTTTGGCACTGATTGAGATAATCATATGGTTTTGTTTTAAATTCTGTTTATGCAGTGAATTACATTTATTGATTTGTATGTTGAACCATCCTTGCATCCAAGAATAAAGCCCACTTGATTGTGGTGGATTATCCTTTTGGGGTGCTATTGGATTAGATTTCCCAGTATTTTGTTGAGGATTTTTGAGTTTTTGTTTATCAGGGTTATTGGCTTATAGTTTTCTCTTTTGGTTGTGTCTCTGATTTCATAGACTGAGTTAGGGAGGAATCCCTCTTCTTTGATTTTTTGGAATAATTTCCATAGGATTGGTACTAGCTCTTCTTTGTACATCTGATAGAATTTGTCTGTGAATTCATCTGGTCCAAAACGTGTTTTGATTGGTATGTTTTTTAAATTGCTGATTCGATTTTGTAACTCATTATTGGTCTGTTTAGGGTGTCTATTTCTTTCTGGTTTAATTTTGGGAGGTCGTGTATTTCTGAGAGTTCATTCATTTCCTTTAGATTTTCTAGTTTGTGCACATAAACATATTTATAGTAGTCTCTGAGGATATTTTATATTTTTGTGGGAGCAGTTATTACGCCACGTTGTCATTTCTAATTGTGCTTACTTGTATCTTTTTTTCTTTGTTAATCTGGCTAACAGTTTATCAGTCTTTTTTAACCTTCCCATGAGTTAACTTTTGTTGTTGACCTTTGTATGCTTTTTTCTTTTTGGCTCCAATTTCATTTAGTTCTGTTTTGATTTTAGTTATTTCTTTTCTTCTGCAAGCTTTGAGTTTAGTTTGTTCTAGTTTTTCCAGTTCCTTTGAGTGCAACATTAGGTTGTTAATTTGAGATCTTTCTATTAATATCTTCCTGATGCAGGCAGTTAGCTTTATAAACTTTCCTCTCAACACTGTTTTTGTTGCATCTCAGAGCTTTTTATATCTTGTTGTCTGGACTTTCACTTGTTTCAAAGAATTTTTTGATTTTTGCCTTGATTTCTTTGTTTACCCAAAAGTCATTCAGGAGCAAGTTGTTTAGTTTCCATGTATTTGTGTGGTTTTGAGAGTTCCTCTTGGTATTGATTTCTAATCATATTCCACTGTGTTCTGAGAAGACATTTGGTATGATTTTAAATTTTTAAATTTGTTGAGACTTGCCTTATGACCAAGCACGTGGTCATTATTGTGTGCAGATGAGAAGAATGTATATTCTGTGGTTATTGGTGGAATATTCTGTAGATGTCTATTAGGTCCAATTAGTCAAGGATTGAATTTAAGTCCAGAATTTCTTTGTTAGTTTTTTTCCTTGATGATCTGTCTAATGCTGTCAGTGGAGTGTTGAAGTCCCCCTACCCCCTGTCCCCCTGATTACTGTGTGGCTGTAGGAGCCTTTTCTTAGGTAGAAGTAATTATAAGTCTGGGTGCTCCAATGTTGGGAGCATATATAGTTAGGATCATTAAATCTTCTTGAATTGAACTCTTTATCATTATATTATGCCCCCTTTGTCCTTTTTTACTGTTGTTAGTTTACAGTCTAATTTTTCTGATGCAAGAATAGCATCCTCTGATCTTTTCTATTTTGTTTCCATGATAGATCATTTTCCATCTCTTTACTTTGAGCCTATAGTTGTCATTACATAAAGACAGCAGAAAGATAGGTCTTGTTTTTTTAATCCAATTTGCCATTTTATGTCTTTTAAGTGGAATGTTTAGGTCATTTATATTCAGGTTAATATTGATATGTGAGGTTTTGTTTCTGTTGTGATGGTGTTTTTGTTGTGGTGCTGAAGTTCTTGTGCTGATTCCTTCTCATCTGAAGGAGCTGATGCTTTTTTTTTTTTTTTTTTTTTTTTTTTTTTTTTTTTTTTTTNAATTCACTGTTGTTTGGATGGAGTTTTTTTTGACTTTTCATTCTTTTCTTTTCCTGGAGGGTATGACTGTGGTATATGTTATGCACAATCAGTTGGCTTTGTTTCTGGGTGCTTTCAGAGAGCCAAGGGTCTATATGGATTCTCTGGTTACATATAGGTTCATGCAGTGTGTTCAAGAGGCATTGCCTGTAGAAATGTTATTTTTGTTTGGTATTGTAATTCAGGCTGTAGTCCAGTAAATGGTGCTTAAAAGAACCAGCACATAGGCTCTTAGTCACTACAGCCCTCAGTGGGGCTGGAGGCACCAGAGAAGTGCAAAAAGCATGCTCTTCCAGCTCACAGTTACCCTCAGCAGGGGTGGGTCCAATGGAGAATCACAGAGAAGCAGCTTATTGCAGTACACACACTTACCAGGCCCCAACAGGAAGAGCTCCAATGGGAAGGCAGGGGATGGCGGAAAATGAGAGATGGTCCCTCTTTAAGTCTATTCCTAGGCCTTGGTGGTGTCCCTTTCAGTGGCTGGCATCACACCCCTATTTCATTTGTCCCAAGTGGGGCTTTGATGGAGTGTGCTTCCTCCTTTCCTCGGGGTGGTTTGCACCAAAGACTAAGTCTCTAGATGACCCTTTACTCCTTAGGTAACTGCCTGTCTCCTGTGCTTGCTGAAGTTAGTGTGAGTTGTGGAGTATGTCTGCAGGTGGTTTGGTGATGCAGTGGTTCAAAGGTGGAGGTTCCCTGGACAGGGTAGTGGCACTGCCGTTGTACAACCAATATGGCATCTACTGCCTAGGTCTCAACCCAGTGGATGGCTGTGGGGCCTGCCCAGCTCATGCTCCCTGACCTGGTGGGTCTCCATCCAGTCTCTGCCCAGATAGCAGGGCCAACCAGCTAGGCTTGTCCCAAGCCATTTGTGTCCAGATCACTGAGCCAGCTCAGGCATTGTGGGCCATGAAACTTCATAAGGGAGAAGTGGTGGCTGTTAGGCCATGCCCATCTTGGTCCAGTCTTGAAAAAGGAGGGGTGACCATCTCTCATGCTGGCACACAAATCTGTGTCATACTCTTCTTTGTGTTCTGACAGTGGGGCTTCTCCCCTACTTGAGCTCAGGCCACAGATATCAACTTGATATCCTGGGTGGTATGCTTGTGTCCTGGGGAGTTGGGACCAGGACTGCGGATTTTTCCTTTGGCCTCTAGGTGTCAAGCACTGGCTGTGATGGGGGTGGTAAACTACTCCTGGGTTGCCAATAAAACACTCAGGCAGGGCTGTGGAGGCTGTGCTGTGAGCACTCTCCTGCAGGAGCAGCCTCACAGGTGGTCTTGAGAGGGACCAGTAGGAAAAGGGGTGCATGGATTAGTGCCTAAAGCAATGGTGGTGGGGTCTGTCTTGGGGCATGAACACGCCCAGGCCCTGCTGTTTCCTGGCCTGGCAGACAGCAGGAGCTACAGCCACTCAGTGTAACATGGAAAGCCTTGGGGGATGAGTGTCTGTGGTCGTGTTACCTTACAGCTGCACAGCATAGCCAAGTCTTCTGGGCTCTGTGTGGGTTCAAACTGTGCCTCTGCTTATTCTTTGGGCAGTTCTGCCTGCCAGTCCAAAGGTGTGGGGGTCATGGGAACTCCTGTGATAGGGTCTCAGCAGTCCATGGCAGGAATGTGGTGCCCTGGGGTTTCTTCACTGACTGCTTCTTTAGGTCCAGTCCAAGTCCAGGGGCTGGTTCTGGTGCCTGGTGACCCCAAGCAGGCCTAGGTCACACGAGAGCCTTGAGTGCACGCTGAAGAGCTTGGACTGCCCTTAGGTAATGGTGCAGCCTCACAAGTTCTTACATAAAGGAGTAAAACAACCCAGTTTGCTCTGGGTTATGATCTGGTACTGTGACCGTGCTTTTAATAAACAGTGTTTTAATTTATCTGCTTTGGACATTTGTTACTGTACTTTTATAATTGAATCATGTATGGATCCACAAACCTTTGTGTAATATGACACAAATGTGCCCAGCTTGGTGGAAGAAGGGCAAAGAAAGACGGTTATATTATTATTGAAATCCTCATGTAATTGTTGGACTGTGATTAGGTAGATTATGGATGGACTAGGCAGAAGGCCTGGAGATGGAGGGGCTTTGCCAGTGACAGGGAAAATGCATGATGGTCTTAGGATTCTGTGAAGGATCCAGAGGGACCAGGCTAAATTGGAACCAAATGTTGAAATCAAGGTGAAACAATTATTTTGTTTATTTAGGAAGATCATAATTTCCAGAGTGAGCAGGCGTGTTTATTGATGTTTTGAGTTTATATACACAACATAAATATGTATTTTAAGAGGAAAGACCACATACCTGGAAGACTAGATTGGCATTTTCATGCATTCCAAAAATTTCTGGGTCATCGATCAAAGGCAGATTTTCAATGTAGTCCTTAAACTCTTGCAGGCTGTCAGCAATGGGTGCAAAATAGATGCCTGTTATTAAAAACACAGAAGACAAATATGTCTCAAATAGGCTGGTTTTGTACTGCCGAGTTTGATTCTTCTTTGCACGGTGCAGATGGTGTTTGCAATCAGCTGCCTCATGTAGAAAGGGGGATTGTTTTTCCTAAGTTTTCATTGCTGTGTCTAGTTTTGCTACCTTTTCTTCAGGCCTTGAGAATCTGATTACTGTCCTAACTTTTCAGATGCCTTCTCCAGAGCATTTAAAGATGCTGAGAATCCAGGGATATTCTGCTGAAAGGGGTATCTCATGAAGGTCTCCACATTTATGCTGAAAGGTGTAACACATCAAGGGCTTAAATTTATGCTTGTGTTAGAGATTGCTTTCATATTTGTTTGATAAACAACAGCCCTCTCCAATTCCCCAAACCAAAAGCTACATTTGCCAAACATTGAAATCTAGGGTTATTCAACTATCTATAGTGATTGCAGGAAAAACAGTTGAATCTTTATTTATTTATTTTTTTGAGACAGAGTTTTGCTCGTTGCCCAGCTGGAGTGCAATGCAATTCCATGATCTTGGCTCACTGCAACCTCTGTCTCCCAGGTTCAAGCGATTCTCCTGCCTCAGCCTCCCGAGTAGCTGGGATTACGGGCCACTACGCCGGCTAATTTTTGTATTTTTAGAAGAGACGGGGTTTTACCATCTTGGCCAGGCTGGTCTCACACTGCTAACCTCAGGTGATCCACCCGCCTTGGCCTCCCAAAATGCTGGGATTACAAGCATGAGCCACCATGCCTGGCCTACAGTTGTAGCTTATCAGCTCTGACTGATGCTCAATGGCAGGAGCTTTTATGAACTTGTACTAATCAAGTTGCTCCTTCCAAGGGGATCAACACTCAGGACAATCTCTTTGCTGTCTGTCTCATAATGAGCTATCACCGACTCACAGATCTGGTTTTTACTCAACTTACTGTAATAGACATTTTGTTTTATTTATTTTTTAAAAAAACTTTTATATAATAATAATATTTATTATTATTTAGAGACTGGGTCTTGTAATGTTGCCCAGGCTGGAAATGAATTCCTGAGTTCAAGTGATTCTCCCACCTTCAGCCTCCTGAGTATCTGGGACCATAGACACGTGCCACCATGTCTGGATGTTTTATTTGATTATATTCAAAATATACTAGAATATAACATTGAAAACACATTTAGACACAATGCAATAAATTTTAAAATCAAATAACTGAAAGTAGTTACCACAAACTATGTATCTCTGTGATCCTACTATCAAACTCACTCTGAAGGTGATCAAGCAAGGGGATAGGGTGTGGCCAGAACAGGGTTGTGGAGACCAGACACAGACAGCCATTGGATGGAAAACTGAGAGATGCTCTCAACGACTTCTTGGGAAAGGCCTTTTCTGTAATATTGAAAAGTCATTCACCTGATTCAGAGTATTTATAATCTTCTTCTAATGTCTCAGGAGAAAAAAATCTTTTCAAGATAGTACGAAGGCATCTTTGATCCCAGGTGTCTGTGACTCTACCACCATAAGTAATTTCACCTGAAAAGGAATTTGTATTTTGAAATTATTACTGTTTTTTAAAAAATTGATAGGCATACCTAATTTTTAAATTTTAATGTTTATATATACATTTATTTGGTACTGAAAATGGAACGCACACATCAGAATTTCCTTCCACCACCCCATCAAAGATAATAAAAGTCAATTTTTGAAAAGTAGAAAAAAATCTACTATATGTACGCTACCCTCATTATTTTGCTGTTTTAGTTTTCAGAAACTAAAGCCACTGAGCTCTTACCTATTTCTTTTTTCTTTTGTTCTTTTGCTTTGAAATATTGATTTTAAATCTTATCATTGATTGCAGTATTCTAAAACATACACACTTTCCATCAAACAGTGCTTCTTTTGGAGCCAATGAGTAAAATGGAATCTAGTATTTGTAGCAAGGCATTCAAGCTCTATACATTCCTTATAAATTATTGCTATCAAAGGTAAAAGGAAAGAAAGATTCAAAATGAAAGGGACAACTCACTTTATAGTAATTATAGGGAATTATAACTGGTTGGTATCCCATCTCTCTTTCCAAAGAGAAGCTACTTTCCATGTACTCCATTGTCATCCCAAAATTATGTGCAGCAAGGAAGCACACTGGAATCTGTTGCTGATATAATTTCTTTAATATTCCAGGTCCATTGCTACAATTCACCATTCACCACTGTCGTGTTCCTGGAAGTATTTCACCTGTGATACCAACATTGTCAACTTATGAATCCTCCAACTGTTGATCCATTCTCATCTCTATTTCTTCCATCATGTCAGGAAGAAAAAATTATTTTTTCTTTCTCTTTCAAGCTGAGATGATTGGTTGGGAGAAAGTTATTTCAGTCTTTGGAATCACAATAATCTATTTCTTCCAAGACTGCAATGTCCTTACGTGCACATCCTGTAGGGATGCCTGTCTTCCCTCTCCTGTTGGAGCACCTCTTGTCAGTCTTGCTGGATAAGCCACTAAGGGTGAAGGGAGGTGCAGTAGGTACCAGGGCTGATGGTTAAGCTGCTGAATCCTTGCATTAGCAATTCCATGAGGTAAAAAGGAGATGTTCTGTACCTTCCTGGGATTATTCTTCAGTGACCCTCTGGGAAACATTGGAACACAAAATTGGGTTAAATCTCTGTCATGGGTCCATCTAATATGGGCCTAACTTGAAGTTCCTCTTGGGTCCTTGGCACTGGAACATAAAGCTCTAGTGTCTCTAATTGCATGATGATGTCAGGGAAAGAAGGGTGTCTTAACATATGTTATTCTAAAATAAGTTTCCAACTAAAGTATCTGCATTTTGACAAGCAGCACAGAAATGTTTTTCTTACAAATCAACAGATTTTGTGCTTCTCCATCCAGATTTGACTTTATCCTTTTTCTTGGGTCAAACTGAGTAAACAAGAAACTCTGTCATTTTTGACTCAGGCTAGATGACTCACAGCTCACTTTCAAAAAGGAGTCTTCTGGCTTTGGTTTTCTCAGAAGAGGGACCATGGTTACGTGCATGCACGTGTACGGGTGTCTGTGTGTGGCATTAACCATCCATGCCACTGCCTGGTCTGGCTGCAGCATCATGGTTCCTGTGGATCCCAATACAGGGGCTTTCCCCTTCTCTTTCTTTTCCTGTGGGCTGGGTCAGGGATGGTTCAATAAAACCTGGAGAGGCCTGAGGTTTGACTTTGTTTTTGCCAACTTTGAGCTCAGATCCACCTCCAATACCACTCCTGGATGTATGTATTGCTGTAACCTATACTACAAAATCTGAAGGTCCTCCTCCAATCCCAAATACCTTCCAGTATTTAAAGCCTCCTAAATATTTCTCTGTTTATTTTCTCCTGTCTAGTTTCTCCACTGGTATTGATATACTTCCATGTTCAATCCCTCATTTTGCTTTTATTATAGCTTTGTGAATTGTTGCACCTCTCCTAGTCTAAAAGACCATAATTGCTAACCAGTGTTTCTAAGTTAGAGGAAAATTTATTAGCAAGACACGTAGGTCTTTCAAGATTTGCCTGCAGCTTACATTTTTAGTGTTGTTGAAGACACAACTGTCCTCCATACACACTTCCTCTTTCGGAGCTACTAACTGTTTCTCTAGTAGTGCCATGTCCCACACACTGTTGGCCTCCCCTAACCCCACATCTTTATTGAGGTATAATTGCTATTCAAAAAACTGCACATAATAAATGTATACAATGTGGTGAGTTTTGACATATGTATATACTTATGTTGCTATCTCCACAATCCATATGGCAAACATATCCATCACCTCCAACAATTTCTTCATGCCCTCCACTGTTTATTGTGGTTAGAATACTTAACATGAAATCTACCCTCTTGACAAATTGTAAAGTACAAAATACCTTATGATTAACTGTAAATGCTATATTGTACAACAGATCTCCATCACTTACTCATCTTGTGTAACTATAATTTTATACTAATGGAACAACAACTCCCATTTTCCTCCTCCCTCTATCCTGTGATAGCCACCATTCTCTTGTCCACTTCTAGACTTTTGATGATTACAGATGCTTCATATAAGAGGAATCAGGCAGTATTCGTCTTTTCTGTGACTAGCTTATTTCACTTAGCATATAGCATAATGCCTATCAGGGCCATCCATGCTGTCACAAATGGTAGGATTTCTTTCTTTTTCAAGGATAAATAGTATTCCATTGTATGTAATTACCATACTTTTTTTACCCATTTATATGTTGATGGGCATTTGGGTTGTTTCCATATATTGGCTACTATGAATGATTCATTATCTCCATCAGCTTTTGGTAGGCAGAGACTATGTCATCTTTGATATCCAGCATCTATCGTAATAGTACTAATCAGTATTTTCTGAATTAATCCATAAACAAATGCCTAAAAAACTCACCATTAGCAAGTATTGCCACCTGGATAAAGCATTGCTTTTTCACCCCTATCTTTTTTTAAAAACCAGTTTCAATGAGATATAATTTAAAACATAATGAAATTCAAATAAAACATATATATGTAAAAGAATATATACTGAATATATATCTATTCTTATATATAATTACATATATATAATTTATTATTTTTTTGTAAATTTATAGAGCTGTCCAGCCATCATTACAATCTAATTTTAGAACATTTCCATTTCTCCCCCAAAAGAAACATTGTCCCCATTTGCTGTCACTCCCCATGTCTACTCCTTGTCCTCTGCAACCCCTGAGCTACTTTCCATCCCTATAGACTTGACTGGTCTGGAAATTTCATATAGATAGAATTGTACTTGTGGTCTTTTGTGTCTGACTTCTTTTACTTAGCATAATGTTTTTGAGGTTTATTTATGTTGTTGTATGTATCAGTACTTTATTCCTTTTTATGGTGAAATATTCTATTTATGGATATGCCATATTTTACTTAGCCATTCACCAGTTAATGGACATTTTTGGACATTATGAACAATGCTATTATGAACATTTGTGCACAAGTTTTTGTGAGAACATATGTTTTAATTTTTCCTAAGTACTTATTTATGAGTAGAATTGCTAAGTCGTATGGCAACTCTATTTAAATTTTTTTTTCAAAGCAGCAGCACAATCTTACATTGCCACCAGGAGCATATGAGGATTCCAATTTTTCCATATGTTCACCAGTATTTGTTATTGTCTTTTTTAAAATTATAGTCATCCTAGTAGGTGTGAAGTGGCATTTCATTAGAGATTTAACTTTCATTTCCCTCATGACAAATTGAGTGTCTTCTCATGTGCTTACTGGGCATTTGTGCATCTTCTTTGGTGAAATGTCTATTCAAATCAAATCTTCAACCATTTTAATATTGAGTTATATTTCTTATTATTATTGAGTTGTAAGAGGTCTTTTTATACTTTGGATACAAGTCCCTTATCAGATGTATGATTTGCAAATATTTTCTCTCAGTCCGTGTCTTGCCTTTTCACTTACTTGATGGTGTGTGTAGGCATGTAGAAGTTTTAGATGTTGATGAAGTCCAATGTATTTTCTTTTTTGTGTCATGTCTTGGAAGTGAATAACTAACCCCAAGTCACAATTTACTCCAAAGCTTTCTTCTAAGAGATTTACCTTTATCTATTAATTGTAGGTCTGTCACCCATTTTGTATTAATTTTTGTGTATGGTATAAGATAAGGGTCCAAATTTATCCTTTTGTAGAAGGACACCCAATTGCCTCAGCATCATGTATTAAAAAGGCTATCCTTACCCCATTGAATTGTCTTGGCACCTTTGTTGAAAATCAGCAGTCATAAATATAAGGGTCATTTTCGGATATTCTCAATTCTATTCCATTGATTTGTAAGTTTATTATACTTTTTTTTTTTTAAATATAAATGTTATTTCTCAACACAAGCTCAATCAATTCAAGACATTTTGGTAAGCAATGATACCAGCCATTCAGTCCATCCCTAAAGAACTGATGGTCCTGGGGGTTTAACCATGTCATACAGTCTTTTTTTTTTTTTTTTTGCATTAACCAAAGAAAAATGGGTGTTCTTTAACAAAATTTTAATATTAGGAAACACAGAAGTTAGAGGGAGCCAAATTAGGTCTGTAAGGTGAATACCTAATAATTTCCCATAAAAACTCTTGTGAAAGTGTTCTAGTTTGATGAGAGCCCTGAATAGCATTGTTGGAGTAGAGAAGGACTCTTTGGTGAAGTATTCTTAGGCATTTTTCTGTTAAATCTTTGACTAACTTTTTCAAAACACTCTCATAATAAGCAGATGTTATCATTCTTTGGCCCTCCAGAAAGTCAAGAAGCAAAATGCCTTGAGCATTCCAAAAAACTGTTGCCATGAGCTTTGTTCTTGACTAGTTTGCTTTTGCTTTGACTAGACCAATTTCATTCCTTGGTAGCCATTGCTTTGATTGTGCATTGTTTTTAGGATTGTACTGGTAAACTCATGTTCCATCTTCTATTACAATTCTTCAAAGAAATGCTGCAGGATCTTGACTGCACTTGTTTAAATTTCCATTGAGAGCTTTGCTCTTGTCTGCCTCTGATCTGGTTTTAAGAGTTTTGGCTCCTACTGAGTGGAAAGTTTGCTCAACTTTAATTTTAGTCAAAATTGTGTCAAATGAATCTATTGAGATGTCTACGGTGTTGGCTGTTGTTTCTACTGGTAATTGCAGGTGCTGTTCAGTGAGGGCGTGAACAAGATTAATTTTTTCTTTGCAAATTAATGTGGATGGCCTGCTGCTGTGGGCTTCATCTTCAACACTGTCTTGGCCCTTCTTAAAACTAGTTATCAGCTGGGCGCGGTGGCTCATGCCTGTAATCCCAGCACTTTGGGAGGCCGAGGTGGGTGGATCACGAGGTCAAGAGATCGAGACCATCCTGGTCAAAATGGTGAAACCCTGTCTCTACTAAAAATACAAAAAATTAGCTGGCATGGTGGTGCATGCCTGTAATCCCAGCTACTCAGGAGGCTGAGGCAGGAGAATTGCCTGAACCCAGGAGGCGGGGGTTGCGGTGAGCCGAGATCGCGCCATTGCACTCCAGCCTGGGTAACAAGAGTGAAACTCCATCTCAAAAAAAAAAAAAAAAGTTATCCATTTATAAACTGCTACTGATTTATTTGGACATTGTCCCTATAAACTTTTTGTAAAGTATCAATATTTCACCATTCTTCCACATAAGATTCACCATAAATTTGACAATATTTCTGCTTCAATTTTAGCAGAATTGATGTTGCCTTGACAGAAGCTCATTGCAAATTGATGTCTTATCCTTCTTAGTGCCTCAAACTAGATCCAAAAACAGAATTTTCAACACAGATTGAAGACCTAAATTTTTAAAAACTGGAATACCTTTTTAAATTTTCCCATAAAATCAGTCTTATTTACAGAAATACTTGGGATATTTGTTGCTGAGGTTTCTTGTTTTCTTCAGCACAATTGTTTGACAGTTCTGAGACTCTTCTGACCAAGACTAGGTGCTGGCCTGGAGGGAACAGTGGATAGGTGCCACATAAAAATAAATTGACCTGATAAGGGCTCTGCTCCCTTCATGCCAGAAACAAGAAACGTGATAGAGCTATCACCACCACTGCCAAGTCAAAATCTATGTCTATTCTTATGCCAGTGCCACAATGACTTGTTATAACTTTGTAGTAAGTTTTGAAATTGGGAAACATAACTCTTTTGACTTCATTTTTTTCAAGATTGTTTTTGCCATTTGAGTTTCTTCACGTTTTCATAATCAGCTTATCAATTTCTGCAACATGCCAGCTGCTCTGGGTGTGACAATCTTCTGTTACATAGGGATCGCATTAAATCTATAGATTGGTCTGGCAAATTACTTTTTACCTCCACAATTACTTTCATGGCAGTAGAGACTGAGGTAACCTGAAACATTGAGGGTTGTAGGAGAGGGAGAAGGAAAAGGAAAATAAGAAGCAGGAAAATTCAGGGTAAGCAAAGGATACCAGAGAACAATTTTGACCACTGTGCAAAGCAATTTTGGCCCCATTGGGATGGCTTGGGGCAGGAGTATAAAGCAGCCTCCCAAATTCCAAGCCTCTCCCCATTGGTCCACTCTGGGGAATAGTCCTAATCTGTTTTTACTATTATTTTGCTGCCTCCATCTCAAACATGTTTTAAGGTTTCATTTTGCCTTTTAGGTTCTAGATTAGCTGATACCCTTCTGCTGTTCTTCATTTCCCTTGCTTGCCAATGAAAATCATCCATTTCCTTCCTGTCCCTGTTCAGAGCTCCTCCTTCCCCCACTTCCCAGCACAAATATCCTTTTTCTTACTACTTGAGCCCACATGGTCCAAATTGGTTTTATTTTTGGCAACAGGATCCCTATGTAGTCACAGTTAAAATTTACCAAAAATTTAATTTCTGACAGATTTTTCCTTTTTCACAGGTATATCTGAATTAACAGGTCTCTACTATTAATTCATATTTAGGTTTTTTTGAATTTAAGATCATGGACTCTGGAGGCTACACTGCCTGGGTTCAAATCTTGGCCCCAGCACTTTGTAAATGGTGTGCCTCAGTTTTCTCATGTGTAACGGTGAAAATAATAGTCCTCATATTATATGATTGTTATGAGGATTAAATCTGCTGATTCTTGGGAAGTGCTTAAAATAGTGCTTGGTATGTAGCAAGCACGATTTTTCCTACTACTATTTGAGAAAGCATCTGTCCCATTTTCTATGTGTGAATATTCTCATGATGTCCTTACATGTTCTTGTCACAATCCTATCTTCACACAGGGAACATCAAAAGTCATCATCACCACCATTAAACACTGGAGGAGGACAGCCCATCTTTGCATGGGCCAGGTGAGTGTAAACAACAACTTTGTGGAACATAGCTGGAAGCCTTGGCTGCAAGGAGGTACTCACCAGTAATGTAAATTAGTGCATCCCAGGGAATTTTTCCTTCTTTACAATAGAGGTTGAGGTTCAGTAAAGCACATTCCCTGTCACTGTCATTAAATTCATAGCAGATATTCCAACCAAGGGGGCCAAACTTCTTTCTTTCCTAGAATGAAAAATGAAAATGGTCTGAAATAAAATTTCATAGAATTAATTTTGTGTAAAATATTGAAAACTAAAAAGAAGTTTCCATTGAAATTGGGCATCCCCACTTTACAAAATCAGTAAAAATCATGTCGCTCAACTTCAGCTAGGCTTTCACCAAAGAGAGGAATTACTTCATCCTTCAATACTGGCCTCATATTTCTAAAAGAAAATTTGCTATTACTAGAAATGTGATAGACCTGTTAAAAGAACATTTTTTAAAGCATTTTCTCATCAAAGTAGGAAAAAAAATTCACCTATAGTCTTTTGTCATAAAAATACTGATATAATCTATCCATCTGGTGGAGAGAGCTATTCCCTACTGTTTTAAGGAGTCTGTCCATGGTTTTTTGTTATGCCACACACAGAATCATATTCCTTGTTTCATGACATACCATCATTAAATCCTCCCCCAACTTCCCTTGTCATCTCCCTATCCTACCTTAATTTCTTAAATTTGAAACTGATAACTGTGCCAGAGGATTGGATCCAAGTTCCCTGCTCTTTATCTCAAAATTTTCCTAAAGCTTAAATTACCTCCTCACCTCAGCTGCTTTTGTTAGCAGAACAAAGGCCTCACACCCAGAACTCCTGATCCCAACCTGTCAGTCCTCCCCTAAGACCTTTTAACCTATTTATCTTATATCTTGGCATCTTTTCTTTTTAATTTTTCTTTTTCTTTTTTTTTTTTGGGACAGAGTCTTGATCTGTCACCCAGGCTGGAGTGCAGTGGCATGAACACTGCTCATTCAGCCTTGACCACCCAGGCTCAAGCAATCCTCCCACCTCAGCCTCCTGAGTAGCTGGGACTACAGGCATGTGCCACCATGCCTAGCTGTTTTTAAAAAATTATTTGTAAAGATGGGGTTTTGCTGTGTTGCCCAGACTGCTCTTGAACTCCTAGGCTCATGAGATCTGCCCACGTTGGCCTCCCAAAGTGTTGGGATTACAAGCATGAGCCACTGTGCCCAGTCTGATTGATTGATTGATTGATTGATTGATTCATTCATTCATTCTCTGTAGACCACACATGTTTGAAAACTGGGAAGCTAATATAATAAATATGCCATCTAAAATATGTATTTGGAGAGTTAGAATTCAAGTACAGGTTTACAGGATGAATACCAGACCAAGCAGTGACATTTGAACAGAGGGAAGGAGACAGTGGTTCTGAGCTGAAGGTAATTTTTCAGGGAACTTGGGGCTTCAGTCATATTGGAGAAAGAGGCAGCTAAGGGAAATAAGCTCATTCAAAAGAACAGGTGAGAGTAAAGCTATTGTAAGAAAACAAAGAAGGACTTGATGACTGAGAAAATATGTATGTATAAAGAGGAAGAATAAAAGAAATCTTGAAGTTCTGATTGTAGGTGATTGAGAGAATGGGACCACTGATTTTAGTAGAGTTTGGAGGGGAAGCAGATTTGGGGCAGGAGGCAGAACTGAGGAAATCTATTTTGAGCTTGTTGAATTGAATTGAACCTGCTGCACTCATCCAAGTGATGGTATTCTGTAGGCAGATCAGATGAGAGGTGAGAGCTGAAGCTGTGAAATACTGAGGCAAGGGGAGTATAGAGATTGAAGGTTGAATTAAAACAACTTGAGTTCAGATACAGAATGTGACCTTCAGCATTTGGCAATGACATTTACATGCTTTCACTTAATTCTTACTATTTATTTCATAATACACTTCTTTGTTGCTATTAAAAAGCAGAGTTGAGTGTACCTGAATAATTGCATGGAAGAAACAAATGCCAAATATTATTTGTCTCCATTTTTTTCCAAGTATATTTTCTTCAAAAAACGAAGGTGTCATTTCAGTAAATGCTCGTCTGATATTTGCACGTAAGCCTTTTGGAGGCTCATTGGTCACCTGGATTTAGATAGAATATACATGGCACAGAGAGTGATTGTATAGATTTGCATTATTTCTGAATAACACACATAGACTGAAGCCATTGAGAGGATGTAGATAGCTGATGTTCACGAAGAGGTGGGGACCATTCCTGGCATGTTCAAACCTGCTTTGAATCTTGCTCAGGCACAGTACAGGAAGAATAGGGAATGGCAGGGTTCTCACACCAACAGTGGTTGAACCACATGACAAGAACCTCAGACACTTCCATTTGGTGTCCATTTTTTCTAAACCTAGGCCAGAAAGCATGCTTAAGGTTTCCTTATTGAATTCTGCATCATCCCGACATAGGGCACTGTCCCATAGTTTGTCCTCTGATGTCCTATGATATGGGGCAGGGAGGGAAGAAGCACCTCTTATTCCTCATATGCAGAGGCTTGCCACAGATCATAAACTTCCAGCATTAAAATCCAGCAGCCACACTAGTATGGATTGTAGGCCTCCTGTCTCTCAGATGCTGAAACATTCCCTTAACTCTGGAAGGAGTTCCTTTCTTATCACTCTGTACCCTTAACATTTCTTGTGAGGGTGAGAGCTGGAAGAATTGAATGACCAACAGGACTAGAATATGCAAGGCTGGGTTGGGAAATCGTTTCCCTACTTGCTATAGGTGAAAGGTTACTGATCTCATCTCCCCACCCTGGCCACACAGACCTCCATATGCTTCCGCGCAGGCTCTGGTCTCCTTGGAGGCACTAGGTGTATATTCTGAAACCAACCATTTCACATTGTTCCAACCATACGCATACATTACCTTAACAGAATTTTGAAGAACTGTAACAGGAAATGTATTACTAGGCATGGAGCTTAAAAAAAGTCGAAAAGTGTCCTTGATAGCACTATCTGTTTAGAAGAAAGATAAAACAACAAAAAAGAAAAATGTTTAGTTGGTAGTGCACTTTTCTTTAAGAAATAATTATCCTAGAGAAGGAAAAAATGCTATAAGCTTTGTTTAAAGACCTAGTTAATCTCTTTCAAGTGTATTGTAAACTGTTTTAAAATGGGAGTAAGATGTGTTGTTTTAGAAACTTCATGGTAGGAAGGGTTGGCAGTTTAGAGGCAGGCACATTTGGGTAAATAAATTAGAGACATATTAATTTTGAGTACTTACTGAACTATTAAGGGCCTTATCTTTGAAATGGGAAACATTTTCATTTGAAAAAGACGGTAGTTATTGCCCAGGTATTTATTCTCACGAGGATTTTTCGACCGTTCAGTTTAACAAGTTGCATGAAAATGGCCAAAAAGCCCTACTGAGAAGAGATTTCTCCCCTCAGTAGAGAATTTGCAAAGTAAACAAGGGAGCAAGGATATGGAGATATGCCATGCATGGCATTAGCACGTTAAGTCAATGCACTTACTTTCCGAGCTATGGACAGAGGACCCAAGAAAGAATGAGCTCCACTGTAGGTTCAAAAGGCCAAAGTAAAGTTGGAAAACTCATTGCTTCCATCACAGGAAGACACAGGAATCATCCAAGGACAACTTCCTTGGCATTGGTTTTTAAGTACGTATTATGCTGTTTCTCAAGCATACTAGGCTGGCTCCCTCTCTAGGGTCTTTGCACTGGCTGTTCACTCAGACTCCCTTACTTTCTTCATGTCTTGGTCAAATATCACCTTCCCAAAGAGGTCTACTCAGACTAAACCATTTAAAATTGCTCTCTTCCTGGTACCTACTCACATCCCATCTCAATCTTTCTGATCCTCCTTACCTTACTCTCCCTTTTATTTTTCCCAAAGCACAACCATGTTCTACCATGCCATATACGTTACTTATTTAACATATGGTTTATTCATCGCCCGTCTTGCCCCAACTAGAATGGAAACTCTATGAAGACAAATACCTATGGCTGTTTTCTTCAGCAGCATATCCTAGAAAAGTATATGGTACACAGTAGGTCCTTAATTATTTATGGAATGAATGACTGCAAATCAAAGCTGATTTCATGCTTTTTGGTTTGGTAACCTAAATTCATAAGCCACATTAAATGGCCCAAATTAAAAGTTAGTTCTATCAAATTCTAGAGCAACACTAACACCGCTTGCATAGTAATAACTATTAGGCAAAGAAGTCAAACAACAACTAAAGTCTTAGGGCCAATGATTTGAGTAACAAAAAAAAACCAAAGGAAGAAGAAGGCCAGGTTTGGAGAAGCATTTTTTCCATACTTTTGTTCTTATAATTGCAAAAGCACCAAGCTTCTTAACTTTCATAGACATCATAGAATTTTAGGGCTGGACTAGAAGAGAATCTTAGAAATCATCTTAGTACAGGACTTTTCGTGATGACATCATATAGTCATTTTATAGCTGGGGAAACAGACCCAGAAAAAAGATATGACAGGCACAGTCAGGAAGTGGTGGGGCAGAACTCTACAGAGCTGATAGGATTTTAAGTCTTCAGGTTTTATTTGTTTTTTTTTCTTTTTCTTTTTCTTGCTTTTGTATTTTCAGCTTACTACCTGAATGTATTTTATTTCATGCTGGTTCAAGTTAAACATCAGAACTTAAATGGTTAGGTTATAAATGATTATAGCAAGGGCCAGAAAAGGATTTTTCTATCCACTTAAGTTTAGTAATCACTTAAAATATACAAAAAACTTCAGCTGGCTTCATTAGCCCAGCCAGTCTCCTTGAAGAACAGGCAAATGCTCTTGTTATAGTTATAGTGAAGCTGAAAGGCATCTCCATATTCTGGAGGCTCATATAGTACCATCATAGCAAATTGCTTTTTTGATGCCTCTCTAGCATTTTTTTTTTAAATTATATTCCTAATCATCAGGGAACCCTGACCAGTACTGAAGACCTCCTGTCATTTCTCTTTAATTATTTAAATAGAAATAAGCCACAGGCCCAACAGGAAGCAGACCATCTCTTATCTGACTGTGAAAGAGTGGAAATAGTGGAGATTCTGAATGGTGGATAAAAATGAGTCCTTACTTTTGTTGGAAGCAGCCTGCAGAAGGCTTGTCAGTGAGGGCAGGGGGCCAGGAAGTGAAGGGTCTTTAGGAAAGGTTGCTAACCCCTGAGTTGGCTCAGTGACCAGTGCAGACTGGGGACTTTGTAAAGGAGCAGCTCTTCACCTTAATAAGTAGCACTAAGTAAAGTGATTTGCAAGATCATCTGCATAGCTCTCACCTTTCCAGAAAGCTTTCTGTAGTCAGGGCACAAAGGAAGGCCTCAGAGAACGGGCTCTCTCTGGATATGCTTGTCTGGTGGTTCTCCCCCAGGGCTTCCCAGTAGAGTGGTAGAATGAGACCCACACAATTTCTTACCAATAAAATAGTTCCGAGGTTTTGGTTATTTTTATACTAATATTTTAAAATTAATAGATTCTAATTCCACTTCTCTCTTTGCAGTCCGTTATACTTCCTTGAGTGGGCAAGAAAGTGGTGAGATACCAGCTAGTGCTAGCAACTGTGAGTAATGCTGGGCACGTCCATGGGGTGGGTGTGGCTCTGAGACACACGTAAAGGTTAGTTGTCATGTGGCTTACAGAGGATAAAAGACAGTAAAACACTACTCTAAGGGAATTGGTGGTAATTTGAACTCTGTTCCTTTACATTTCACATTTTATAGGGAAGGATTTAATTTGTTTGTCCTAAGTATATTTTTTCTGTTTCTTTTTATTATGACTATAAGTAATATATTTCAAATTCAAATGACCTCTCATAGAAGGCAATAAGAAACAGAAATGATCCAGTGGATCCTAGTTTCAACTGGATGTCTGAAGGCCTTTTTCCAAATCCTGGTTGTGTGAATTAGCTAAAACTCAAATTTAGGTCCCTCAAATTTCTCCTCTTAATACAGTGCCTACGATAATGAATTACTATAAGGAACGAATTAAACAGGAAAAGGTTACATGAAAATGTTATTATTATGCAAGTGCTATGTGCTCAACACACCTGGATCTGTGAAGGTTTTAATGAGCTCTTCCATTGCCAACATCCAAGAAACAGCAAGATGGCAGTTTTGCAAAAATACCCAGTTTCCTGATTTCATTGCATCCTTGATCATTTTTTCAGCAATAGGTCCTTGTCCTTGCCCCAGTGAAATTGACTGCACCCTGAAATGAAGAGCAAAACCAAAATACCATTTTAAAGCAAAACTAATATAAAGAAATGTAAATACAGTAGACTCTTGCTTAGGATATACATATGTTTTGAATCCTCATTCCAACAGGAGTCCAAATATGTTTTTCTTATTTCATGTTTTTAAAAACATTTTTACCATGACCCACACAGAAAAGTATAAAAACTGAATATACAGTTCTACAAATGATCACAAATCAATAACTGTGGTTGAGAAGAGAACTATGCTGATACCCCAGAGACATTTCTCCTATACCTCTTTCCACCTTAATGATTTCCTCTTCCTTCTTCCCACAGGTAATCATTATCCTAATTTCTAACAGAACAATAGATCAATTTTTAAAAACTTAAAAAAATTACAGCCTAACATATATACAGAAAAATACATATTATTAGTATACGGATCAATGAATTCTCACAAAGCAAATGTGCACATATATCACCACTCAGTTCAAAAAACAGTATCTCTCCTTATCCCAAAAGGCAAAAACAGTTTTGAATTTGAATGCCATCGATTAATCACACAACATCTGTGAAAGCCAATGCTGTAAACTATCTACAACTAAGGAACCTGTGCAAAGGTTGGCCCTCTGAAAGCACCCAGAAACGGTCAATGAACTGTACGCAACATACACCACAGTCAAATTGTCAAAGGAAAATAGGAATACAAAAATAAAGAGCCTCAATGAAATGACAGCAACCTGAAAATGATAAATGCCAGTCCTCGGATAATTAGGAGTCAGCACTAAAACTCTGGCAATTCAAAAAATCAGAGTGTTTCTTTACCTCTGAAAAATTGCAGCCGGGCTCAGTGGCTCATGCCTGTAATCCCAGCACTTTGGGAGGCTGAAGTGGGTGGATCACCTGAGGACTGGAGTTTGAGACCAGTGTTTCCAACATGGTGAAACCCGTCTCTACTAAAAAAATACAAAAATTAGCTGGGGATGGTGGCAGGTGCCTGTAATCCCACCTACTCAAGAGGCTGAGGCAAGAGAGGTGGTGGAGGTGCAGTGGAGGTGAACTCAGGAGGTGGAGGCTGCAGTGAGCTGAGACCGTGCCATTGTACTCTAGCACTCTACCCTAGGCAACAGAGTGAGATTCTGTCTCAAA